GGTTTGACTATTCTATTCAAAATGGCCGAATGGTGGTCATTTTTGTGCTAAAAAATCATCAAATATCAAGCATTTATGGGTGGATTTCATTCAAACTTTTTATTTTTCAGATTGGATTCAAAATGGCTGACTGGCGGCCATTTTGTTTTAATGATTGGGCTTCTAGAGCCATATCTCTTAAATGCTTTGACTTATTATATTTAAATTTTATATATTCGTTATACATCAGGTTATATATATACATGTATTCAAAATGGCTGATTTTGAATGCTGTTCCAGAGCAATATCTCTCAATATGGACAAGTACTTGTTTGACGATCAGATACAAATGTCAATCATTTTAATGTTAAAAAATCATATTCCTGACATGGTTATTGCTATAAACAAAACTATATATCTTAAATTTGATAACTAACTGGGACTGTGCCATGCATGGCTTGTAATATTTATTATTATTTAGTAAATTTTGAACAAAATATTAATTTACAACATTTACAAATGACAGAATAGATGAGCAGCATTCAAGAACATAAATCATAACACAAATAGTAATCGTATAATTTAGGCTTCCGGTCGCCAATAATGAATTACCCGATATTTTTAGATTTTCTCCTATAAATGATGTTACTTTCACCATGTTAGCTAATATAAATAATTTCAAACTAAAAACAGTAAACTACTTTTATTTTGCGAGACACGAATTTTCATAAATTTTTCAAGTCAGAGAAAATCATAAAATTTTGTTGTAATGAAAATTTTTTTGGGATTCAGTGACTCTAGAAAAATTTTGCTTTCATGAATGCCATAAGATCCTTGATTTGTGAACATTTCTAGCAATAAAAATTAAACTGTTTAGAGTAAATTAATGTCAGAAATACATGTTCTATGAAATAAATCTGCTACAGTAGCATATTTCAATAAGTCTAAGACATTGTGATTTTTCATGTTAATGTTATCTTCTTCCTGTCTGCATTAACGGCCTAAACAGAGTTGGAGGTAGAAATGGCCACTGTGGCTATACTGTAAACATTGGTTTTAAATTTTTGCTAATCAGTGAAATTCACTATTAACTAAATTAAATCCACATAAACCAAGTTTAGAACTCATTTATTTCCCTGCCAAGTTTGTGAACCTAAGACCCAGTGAAATTGTTCAAAACATCAAAATAGTGAAATTGAATGCCAGAGAAAATAAATGCTTTTACAGTAGCTATTTTACCCTAATTGAAAGCCCAGGCACCGGTAATACACTGCATTAGCTAAATATAATACTGAACACATCTAGACACACATGTGTAACAAATAGCATTTGTATCTCACCGATAGTCTGTTTTCCCTATTTTATTTAACCTTCCCTGTTACTACTGTTTCTGGGACAGTATAAGAATGAACTCTTTGAATGCCTTTCACAAAACATGCCCACATTAATTAACAAAGATTAACATCAGATTTATCGCCTCATGGATATTCATGAGGTTGTTTGTTTCAAACGAATCAGTAATCAAAAACTAGAATAGCAATAGGCATATTCATAACTGTTTTGGTGTATTATTTCGCAGTGTCTTTGTGTACATACATGTATAAGTAATAAACTTACCTCAAGGGATTCATAACAAATATGTGGTTGAAAAAACCTTTATCATCTGCAAAAGTTGTACATTTGATCAATTTCATGTTGTGAACAGCATACTACCATTATGTAATTTCCTTTTTTATTAAAATTTTACAATCATGACAAATGCTATACAGGTGAATTGTAATTTTTGATAGAACATTACAATACTGCTTTTTCTGTCTTCCTTCATTTCCCGTAATTGTGGCCATACCACATTTGCTCTATTGCAGTACTGTTAGTAGCCCATTATTACCAGGCCCCATATGTCTATATGGTTAAAACACCCAACATAAAATAATTTTGCAATTTTTAGTTTAGCACTTTTAATGGAGTTAATGGAGTAAAAACAGTGAAATGAATGTTTACCAACTTGATACTGTAGAATACTTTATTTTCGCTTTGAATTTATTTTCGCTATTTTCGCTGAAAGGATGATTCCGTGAAAATAAAATCCAGCGAATATACATTTTTTCCTATATTTCTATATAAACTCATCAAAAATCAGTGAAAATATATTCCACAGAAAATGTCCAAAAAGCTTTTTCATTCAGCGAAAATTAATTCCAGCGAAAATAAAGTATTCCACAGTATATAAACACAGAATTATTCAAAAACAAGAAAAGTTCTAAATCAGATAATATTTTTATCTAAAAAGTTATGAAAAATGCAAGGCATTCAAGCTGGAGCATACTGCTGCTACAGTGTTGGGTATAGCTTCAAAATTACCGGAATATTTGACTCTAGGAATTATTACTGGGGGACTATTCCAATATTATAGACATATGTATAATTACAAGATAAGATCTTTATTTGAATATCTAAAACATTTTTTTATGTGTGGGAAAGCTTTCACGTTAGAGATCTCGGCGCGTGCAGAGACTCGGGACCGAGTGGGCACGTGCCAAAAAGAACTCTACCTCGGTCCTGATAGATGCTTGGGACCAAAACATAAGCTGATTCATACTAGTATGAAATGACGATGACAGGAAAAACAGATATACTAGTATATAGTCGGATGCTGTAGTAATGAATGAAATGAATGCAAACCGTCGTCAGCGAGTGACGCATATTTATGTGCTGCTGCAACCGCTATTTTCTTGCAACTACATTGACGTGAAAAAAATAATTGTTTCGAATCTTCTTTGCCGTTCATGTGCACGATGGCTCGTAATAAACACCATAGTAACAAATGGATATAATTTCACTATAGCAATTATTATTATCATCATATGCGTATTGTTTCCCATGTTTGGGCCAAATAACAGATGGGTTCCGAATAACGTGAACGCAACTGCTGTAATCCTTCTGCAAACACAAAAAATTACAAATTTTGGCACGTGCCAAGATCCCGTCGCGTGAACGTAGTAATTCACTAATGCAAACTTGGCTAGATATTATTGAGTGACATACATGCAGGATAAAATCATCATCAATAATAAACGCCAACACAAAGTATCATATCTGTATTCTTAGGTTGTTTTGTGTGGAAAAGTATAAATTGAGAATTTTATAATGGCATATTCAAACACCACTTCAAGTATACTGTTTCTCAATTTGTATTGAGACTTCCTTTGTACATGACAAAGACATATGACAATTATAAACATAATGACATTTGATTTACAATAACAGTTATATCCAATATATTGTTTGATGGACATATAAATGTTATATTACATTGAAACATTAAAGATATTTTCATCAAGTTTGTCTATATATTTGCATTTTAATAATTTAGAAAAGTGGCATTATTCAAAGTTAATAAATATTCATGATATATTGATGTCAGTAACGCCAGTCTATGTTGCATGTAGATTATTCAAAGATCAACAAAATTTGGGGGCTGTATTATTAGCAAGAAATTAATAATTTTATTAAAACTTTTATTATATTATGAGGTTATTACGAGGATATTGCAAAGTATGCACGAAGAAAGTAAGGTATATCGACCGACACGCAGCGGAGGTCGATGCTACTGCATAGTGTCTGAATGCATACTTTGAGGTTTCCTCGTAATAACCTTATTATTATACATCTTTTCCTTCCAAGGATACATCATGGGAATGCTGAAATCAAAAAAGTTTAGAAAAGATGTAGCAAACTTCTTTGTGTTGAGTCCGGTCAAAACCT